AAAATAAAGATCTAAGTTCGGCCACCTGTAGCTGAGCTTGACTTCGACAGATGTCGTTCATAATTGGCACCCTTGCAGATAGGCATCCATTGAGCAAGGTGTGCAAGTTTCATGCAAATCCCTTGATAACAAACGAGAAAAAAATATTGGCCAAAAAAAAAATACAAAAAAAAAAAATTAAATATAAATATATTGCACATACATATTACAATTATTACAAGAGTTTGTGCTTCTACAGCACATAGTAGACATTTTAGTTGACACATGTGTTCCCTGAGATTATTTGAGAATGTTGAACATTCGTTGCATAATACGTTGTGTATTTTTTTTCTCCTTTTCTGTTTAGGGTGTGATGGTGAAACTTGGACCAGTTGCAGCCCTTTCTATAACCATTTCATAAAAAAATTTATAAGCAAATTGAACAACTTTTAATTTATAACGATTTAGAATGATATGCCCCCTTAAGAAACAGATGAACAATAGAGATGTCAATGTTTTTCTAAGGAATAGAGTAATGGGAAAATGGAATGAAGCAAACGAGTAGGTTGCAAAAGCGAACTCCATTCTCCATTCATAATTTCAAAAGTTGATATAAGACAAAAGGTCGGAAGTAATTGCAAAAGACTACCGGCGGCTGGAAATGTGGAAATAGAAATGAAATGCTGGAAATGTGGGATCCAAGAGCTAAGATCTTGCAAGTACGCCAGCACACAAATATACACACACACACACATGTAAGATACTGAGGGGAACAGACGAGCTGAACAAGGACAGTCTCATGAAAGTGAGATAAAGTAGGTCAAGAGGACATAAATTTAAGCTGGAAAAAGACAAAGTCGAAGACATACTCGTACCGTGAGAACAACAAGTGGAGTGCGCCGAAGGGAGCTGTGGAACCCACCTCCATCCACACCTTTAAGGCCCATCAGAATAGTTAAACTATCATGCAACCAACCCTGGCTTTGCGCCCAGCAGCGGCCACACCAGATCGACAACCAGAGCGCAGCTCCATAGTCCTGAGACTGATGGCTGCCTACTAATGCAACAGGAACAAGAAGGTTAGTAGGCTTCTATTCGCTAGACCTCGCTCCCCTGTTGTTACCGATAGGTAAGTATAGATAAATAGGTAAATACAGTCATGTCTCCACCGATGACCCGGGATCCGGAACCCAGGAGAGATAACCCAGGACCAGGACTAGGACAAGCACCTGGGACGCAGGACATGGGACGCAGGAGCCAGGGCCCAGGAGCCAGCACCCATGACCCAAGCTCCACATAGGCCGCTCCACAGGAGCAGCTGCCAATACACCAGCTGGCATTTGCAGAGGAGACAAAAACTGCCTCGTTAGTATTAATGGTTGTTATGTGGTTCCAAATTGGGCTCTTAATTGGATGGGGCAGATTGATGGATGGACGAAGAGATGGATGGATGAGTGAGCGGACAGGAGGACACACAGATGAATGAACCCCACATTTGTAACCTCTCCTTAACCATTACTATTATTATTACTCACTACCAAAGTTCCCATAAGTAATACCACTATTCAAGATATATTTCCGAAAAACATTTAAATAAAGAAGACGCAAAAATAAGAAGGCAAGTTCTTCAACTTCAAAGAGAGTTTTCGTCCGTCTCTCTTTGCTGAAAACTACTCTAACTTGCGGAACAATTTTTCTACAAACTACATTTACAAGTTTCTTCTTGGGTTAAACACAAAAATATGTAACAAGATCATGTTCTAGAACGAAATATTTTATAATATATTGATAGATACCGTAATAAAATACACAATTGGTCTTTTCAAGCTAAAAAAAAAAACTTCACATAACAACCACCATCACCACTCCCCCACTCCAACCACCACCACCACTCCACCCCACCACCACCACCTCACCTCACCTCACTCCACTCCACCTCACACCACCACTACCCCACTACACTCCACCACCACTCATCCAACACTCCACCACCACCACCCCAACACTCCACCACCACCACCCCCACACTCCACCACCACCAATACTCCACCCCACACCACCTCTACCCCACCACACTCCTCCACAACTCCACCACTCCACCTCTCACCACCACCACACCACCACCACCACTCGACCACCACACCACCACCACACCAACACACTTCCCTACCGCTTCACAGACTACGTATCAAGCACTCTTGATGAGATGCATTGTGCTTACCAGGCTATAATGGCTCGCTCGTAACAAGCTCCCTCACCCCTTGTCACCCCCCTCACCCCCCCCTCACCCCCCCCCTCACCGTCCACGGTCAATAACCATAACGAGGATAACTGCGGTAATAATTAAAAATACAAATAACAAATAAATATATATATTACGATAAACTTCAGGCGCAAACCCTTAGCCTCGCACTTCTTTCCTATTGTTTCCAAAGTTTCCTTTCCTAACTTTGTATTGGCAATCACCAACAGGGAGTGCATAGGGCGGGGAGGGAAGGGGGTAGCGGGAGGGAGGAGGGATAGCGGGAGGGAGGAGGGATAGCGGGAGGGAGGAGGGATAGGATGAGGGTGGAGGAGGAGGAGAAGAAGCGAGGAAAAAGATAACAGGCAACAGAGAAAAGTTCAGCAGTTTTTAGAAAGGTCTTCTGCTTACCTTACGTGATCACATCTCAACATCTTATCGCACTGCAATAATTTACACGGGAATTGTCAAAGTCCCGAGAGCATAAGCACTTTTAATCTCAACGTGTTGGGATGTTGAAGGTGAATAATCAATATAGACACCTTGATGTCAGTGGCAAGTGTTTAGCACGTGGTGAGGGCGAACCGTCGCTGGTACACCTCAGCCTTGACCAAGGTATGATCTCTTGAGCTCCAACTCGGGCCTCCACATCCTCAAGCACCCTCTTTAGCTTGACCCTCTGCTCCACCTGCTTCTCCTTCACCCCTCATCATGCCCGATCTTCTTTCCACTCACCCTTTTCACTCTCAACGACACTTCTCTTCTCAACTCTAGTTCACAACCACCAATGAAATGTCAAATACTTTTTTTCAGTGGCTATCAACCGACAAGACCAAAGACAGCCAAAAGAGGAAGGAAAGTCATCGGAAGAAATATGAGCTTTGGAAACAGAAGGTTCCAGTGAAAGGAAAGTTATAGCGGTCATAGGTCACAAGT